GCTTATTATTACAATTAGTTATTCTTTTAAAATTTTGTTTATATTCTTTAATAAATATGATTAAAATGTAATTATACTTTAGTCGTATTTATTGAAATAACAAAAATTTAAACAGAGAATTAATTGTGAAAAATTAAAGATGTAATGAGATAAAATTAAAAATAAATGAAATTAAATGTTGAAATCCTGCAATAGTTAATGAATAAAAATAGAATTTGTGCTTTTTCAAATAGGACGGTAGAACAGAAAATAATAAATATATTCACATAAAGTAAAACAGCGTTATGATTTTATTGAAATCGTTTTTTTTTTTTTTGTTAATTGCTTATTTATTTGTAATTTAGTCACTTACATGATAAATTATTATTTTTCTTAGAAAATTTTCTTTTACGATTGAACATTGGATGTAAAATGGCATTGTCATTGAAAATGCCATCTTAATTTTACATAATCAATTTTGCTCAGTTTGATACAATTGAATCCAAGAAGTTATATGTCTTTCATACCAAATACGCCGATCCGTATGTTATAATAATAATAATAATAATAATAATAATAATAATAATAATAATAATAATAATAATAATAATAATAATAAAAAACTACAACTTTATTCTTTGACATGCACAAACACAAAGGATCAATATTGATTTCATTGAGGCCATAACCTCTCACAAAAGAAATAACTTGATACCATTGAACTACAAGATCCTTGGTATTACAGAAGTATTTTAGACTTTTAATCTTTATATTATTATTAATTTTTTAAAATTTTCAGTAATTCTATTCCTTCCTATCAAATAATAAAATTTGAATTCTTACTTTATTCCCCATTATTCTTTTCCAACAGATTACAATTCTTTTCCCCTCCAATTCCTTGGATTCCTCCAAACAACACCAACGCCCTGTAATTTCATTGTCATTCTGCATATATATAGTACGGAGATATGAGCAAACACGTCAAATTTAAGAATGGAGGGTTATCATCATCATCATGCATATAAGGCACAATTAGTGTGCAACTTCTCCAGTCATTCCAACGTAACAAAAATGGCTTCTCCTTATACCTGCCTTCCACTTCTCTTCTTCTTACTACATTTAACAATCTTCTTTCCTACTACCACTACAGCTGTGAACAACTACAGGCCCAGGCCCTTCAACAACACAGTGTCGGCCGTTTTTGTGTTCGGAGATTCCACCGTCGACCCCGGCAACAACAACTTCCTCGACACCGTCTCCCGGTGCGACTTCCCGCCGTACGGAAGAGACTTCGATCCCAACCACACTCCCACCGGACGGTTTAGCAACGGCCGCCTTGTTACCGATTTTATCAGTTAGTACATTATATCTATCCTATCCTATCCATCCGCGCTTGCTTACATTTTCTTCCTCTTGAATGTGATAATAATAATGATTAATTAACGTTAGTTATTGTTCGTTTGAACAGTTTCATATGTGGGAATCAAAGACTACGTGCCGCCGTACTTGGACTCAAGTCTTAGCATTGAGGAGCTGATGACCGGCGTCTCTTTCGCCTCCGGCGGCACCGGCTATGACCCTTTTACTGCCCAAATAAACGTCTGTACTGTTACACAAAGTCGAGTTCATATATATATAGTTTGAGTCATAATTAATGGTGTTTTTAATTTGTATGGCAGGGAGGGGTGATTCCTGTATTAAAGCAGCTGGAATATTTTCGAGATTACAGAAATAGAGTTGAAAAAGCTGTGGGAAAGGAAAAAACAGAAATGCTTATAAGAAACGCAGTATTTCTTCTGAGTGCCGGCACAAATGATATGCTTGCCAATTATTATTTAACCCCATTTCGCCGGCAAACCTACACTGTCCCACAATACCACAACTTCATGTTGGATCTCACCCAGCAATTTCTGCAGGTAACTAATAACCTATTCAAAACTATTGTGAGGGAATCCACTAAGTTCGTCAGATAATTGATTTTGTAACAACAAATTTTTAAGTTGGAAAAGATAGCCATTTATTAGCCTAGCTTGATTTGGTAGGAGCATAAATACTATGCATTTATATTATGAAAAATTATATTTTGTCCTCTAAATTATATGCTATAACACTTTTCTCCCTAAAATATTCATGTATCTACATTAGTCCCTCAATTATTTCTAGCTATTTTTCCCCTCTCTCTCGGTTAAACGGGTTGTTAGATGGTTAAACATAAAGGCAAAATAATATAACCCAACATGGTAGCTCAAGTCTCAAATGAGTTCTCTTTGTGAGGGAGAATTCTGGGATTACCCGGGTTTGATTCTCATAAGTGAAGATTCTTCTTGGGCCAGCTTCCGTGCCTTCCGGAGCGAACGGGGACTAGTTGGGTGGTGGATCTAGACCACCGTTAAATGGACAGAGAAAGACCCAAACCACCTTGTGGTTTACACCAAAAAAAAAAGGGGGAAAATATGTATTTTATTTATTTTTTTCTCTAACATATTATTTTTATATGTGGAAATCAAAATAAATGTAAAAAAATAATAGACACCATTTATTTATTTTTGAAGATAAAGGTTTAATTCAAATAGATACCATTTATAAATATTATTATAATTATAACTTCAAGGGCATATTTGATTCGCTGGAAAATGTTTTCCTTTAATTTGAGGAAAAGTGACTTTTCCTTTTTGTTTGATTCATGAAAAACATGTTCCATTGAAAAACATTTTCCTCAAGAATGATGAGGAAATTTTCATGCCCTTTTAATATTTTGTTTTCCAAGGAAAATTTTTTCTATAGAAAACAAATAGGACCATTATGTCATCACCAACTTTTCATAATTACCATTATTATAATTGTTGTTATTATTGTGTAAGGGTATAAGTATCTTTATACTCATTATTCTTTACAATTCAATAATTTATTTTCCACAAACTAAACAATAGAATCCATTTTAATTTCATTTCCCTTATTTTTCACAAACCAAACAATGGAATCCATTTTTTTGGAATTTATTTTTCATGAAATTTTAATTTCATTTCTCTTCAAATATTTTTCAGCAAAGGCTATAAGCTAATTATAATAATAGAATTAAAATTTAAACACAAATGAAGATATATACCTGAATAATTAAGAGAAAAAAGTGTTGTAAGCATATAATTCGGGAAGCAAAAGTATCATTTTCCTTTATATTATATGCTAAAAAAGATGTTGGGTGCAGGGTTTAATGAAGGAGGGGGCTCACATAATAGGCGTGGTAGGACTACCACCGATTGGGTGTATACCGATTGCCATCACAGCACTTTCCGACAACATGCTCTCTCGCCGCCGGTGTGTCGAAAAATATTCCGCCGTTGCAAGACAGTACAATACCATGCTCCAAAACAAATTGAAGGCCATGCAAACTCCATCCACCAGAATCCTCTACGCCGATATCTACACCCCTTTGGATGACATTACCAAAAATCCCAGAAAATATGGTAAATAAAATAATACTTCTATTTGTTACCATTTTTAGTGACGACATTAACGAATGCAAACCAATTTCAATTCGTTCCACTAAATGTTTTTTCCTTGTTTTGATCCCCTAAGGTTTCGAAGAAGCTAGACAAGGTTGTTGCGGGAGTGGATATTTCGAATTTTCTATTTTGTGCAATCCCAAATCTGTTGTGTGTCCAGATGCCTCCAAATATGTATTCTGGGATGCAGTGCACCCGACTGAAGCCACGTACCATAAAATATTTCAATCTTTTATCCCCTTGGTCAATTCTTGTCTGAAGAATTAAAGATTTCATAAGAAAAAAAAAAACATCAAATCTCGAACATGAAATAGGAGGGAAAACATGCATGTATACAAGTTTCTATTTGTTTGGTTGGACGATTCATATTTAGTGTACTCGACTTTTGCATTTAACGACATATAATGTATTCTATCATTTTGGTTAGGTTGACTAAACTTGATATTTGAATTTAATGACACACAATAACTCTGCATCACCTACTTGACTAGTCATTTATGGGGATTGATGTTAGTCTTTTTTATGCATGATACGTGAAAAATATATGCCCAATATTTATACTTTTAAAAATAACTAATAAATCCTTATTAATTAAAATCTATATGAAATCAAATTTATTTATTATATTAATCCAGTATATAATGTTTACAAATATTATTATCATTAAAGAATATAAGAAAATATATGGTAGATGCATGTCTACGGTAATAATAATGGAAAAGATAATGGAAGTTATAACAGTAGGGATATTTTTGTCTAAAAAATTATATAATACAATTCTAAAAGCACAATATACAAAATGATTAGCACTAAAAATATGAACATAAATTATAGATATAATTTTAATTGAGATTTATTATGTTTTTTAGATAAAATAATTTACACTTGAATCAACCTAAATATAAATTTTGGTAGGTAAATGATAATTAGATAGGGTGTTGCAGTTATCTAGATTGTTGACTGTTGATGGGAGTAATTCATGGTAACAGTACAGTTGTACCAAAATGCAAATTAATGAATTTAAAACAACCCCATTTAAGAGAATGGAGCCCACCATGACCTGGTTGACCCTTTATCATATGAAGTGAAAATCATTATAATTCTCCTACTTTTTCATAAATTAAGGAGTCCTTTAATTTATTCAATTATTGCTGCCGCCTTGCATTATGTTGACTGTTATGCACAAATATAAAATACGGAGTAAAATTATTTTTTTCAAAAAGTTCAACCTCCAACATCAAGGGTCTCCACATCCAGACCCAACAAAAAAATTAGTCATACTATCACTGGTGAGACTTGATCTACGGTCTTTATTTTTAAAGTGAACAACTGAGCAATTTATGCAGACAATAAAATAAAATTACATTTTTTATTATTAACTATATATTTTTTGGGTAAATTTTTCATTGAGAACGGATATTAATTAGAGCAGGTGATGTGTTAATGTATATGGTTAATATAATGAATGCTATTTATACATCTAAGATGCATTAAACATTTTCTTTAATTTATTTTGCTTATATAAATATTATTATTATATATTGCTAAATGTATAGAGTTAAAGGGGAGGGGAAAGAAAAGGAAAAGAAAAAGATGAGTTTTCACAGGTGGGTTGTAGTTCCAAGTTTGTTGTTGAGTATTAGTGTCATCGTCATCTCGCATATAACCGGAGCGGCTGCGACGGCGGCGGCGGAGCAAAGGCGCTTCAACAATACAATCTCGGCGATCTTAATCTTCGGAGACTCGACCGTCGACTCCGGCAACAACAACTACATTCTCACAATCGCTAAGTGCAATTTCCCACCTTACGGACGGGACTTTCTCGGCCACATCCCCACCGGAAGGTTCTCTAATGGCCGCCTCGTTACCGATTTCATCGGTTTGTGTTCTAAAACCCAACCCCTTCTTCGGTTTTCTTTTAATTATATATGTACTTAGTTGTCTAATACCATACTATACAGCCTCGTATATGGGAGTGAAAGAGAACGTGCCGCCGTACTTAGACCAAAGCCTCGGCGTCGAGGAGCTCATTACCGGCGTCTCATTCGCCTCCGGCGGCACAGGATACGACCCTTTTACTGCTAAATCAAATGTAGGCCGGTTTTCTTTTTTTTTCCGGCAATATGTGGGACATGGTTGATGTTATGGTGATTGTTTAAACTTATTTAACGCATGGCAGGGAGGTGTGATTACTGTACAAAGGCAGCTTCAATATTTCAGAGAGTACAAGAAGAGACTGGAAAATCTCATCGGAAAGGAGCGGACAAAATGGGTTGTAAGAAATGCCGCCTTCTTTGTGAGCGCCGGCACTAATGATTTGAACAACTATTTTGGCAACCCATCGTTACGCTGCCAACAATACACGCTTCCGGCCTACCAACAATTCTTGATTCAACTCGTGCAACAATTTGTGCTGGTAATTAAATAATTGTTTTTCTTTTTCTTTCATGACGGGGAACCAGTACGTGCAGTCACCACCAGAGGGTGTGTATTGCGGGGAATCAGTACGTGCAGTTACCACCAGAGGGTGTGTATTGCATAAAACCACCTTCTAATTCTAGATCAAAATCATGAAAGTAAACCAGATTAAATTGTAAAATCATGAAAGTAAATCAGATTAAATTGTCCAAATAAGAGGCTTTGTAATTACCAAGTCACCGTTTAACCAACGTGGGTGGTCCCAAATTGTTTTTCATTCTTCTTGTATGTATTGGTAGGCAATTAGTAGTTAAATTCCTCAATGGTATGTAGGACGTGAGAGCCATCCCACTTTAATGCAATTCAATTATTTTTCTTTGGTTTTGGCGTAATGGACAGAGAAGAGTATTTAAGTATACTGACATTTTATTTACGATGTGGGACATAGCAAGAAGCTCTGATCGGACCAGTAGATTTTTCGAGGGACCACAATGCAACAAGCTCTTCCTTTTATGTCTAAGACATTATTTCCTTGAATTTAAGTGCACCACTGACACTGAGAAAAGAAATGATGTTTAGGGTTTAATGGAGGAGGGAGCGCAGCGAATCGGAGTGGTTGGGCTGCCGCCAATCGGGTGTTTGCCGACAACGATCACCAGGAATTCCGGCAGCCCACTGTTTCACCGCCATTGTCTCCAGACGTACTCCGCCGCCGCCAGAGACTACAACCAACTGCTCCAGAACAAACTGAAAACCATGCAAAATAATGGTGCCCCGAAACTGGTCTACTTCGACATCTACAACCCTCTGGAAGACATGATACAGAATCCCAGAAAATTTGGTGACTGCAAATTTTAATTACTTTCAATAATACGATTCTTTGCCGACTAGGATCAGAAGAGCATAACAGAGTTTATTAGTGCAAACCCTCGAATAATGTTCTTTTTTCTTTTGATTTGCAGGCTTCAATGAAGTGAATAGAGGGTGTTGTGGCAGTGGGCTATTTGAACTTTCAGTTCTGTGCAATCCAGAATCCATAGTCTGCTTAGATGCATCCAAATATATGTTCTGGGACGCAGTGCATCCAACTCAGGCCACATACTATCAGCTCTTCAAAGCTTTGGTTCCCTCCATTGATTATATCCTCAAAGGCTAGCAAATGAAAGAGCCATGGCGATATATAGAACTGCAACAATAATTAATTTGTTTGGGATTTGGATCACTGCTTAGCTTGTTTGTCAAAAAGGAATTTCTTGAAAGACAGCAAGAGAGTGAAAGGCCTCAACTTTTGAGTTGCTTCAATTCTTTGCCGGTTTCACTTTGGAAGATTTCAAACATTCATCACAAATTTATAATGTTAAACTCCATAATTAATATTTAATTTAATATTAACCCATTATGCATAAACGTAACAATGTATATGTTTGTAAACTATATTAAAGTTAAATTTCAAACACTAAAAAAATATTACTCCTATAGTGGTTTTTCTCAATTTCGTCCTAAACGACTTTGGTGACCTAGTATCGTCCCAGACTTTTGTGTTTCGCTCAATTTAGTCCTCCATTTGTTATTCCGTCAAATTGGTGTTAAATTTAGGGACAATTCAGTAATGTCAATATTGATCTCTCTTTACTTTCAACTTGTGAAGTGCGAAATTCCTCTTTCTTGTACGAATTACACCCAGAATTACTCCCGGACCTGCAAATCAAATTTTATATTTGCAGTTTTAGGAGTAATTCTGGTACTAATTCGTAAACAAAAAGGGATTTCGCAGTTCACATGTCTATGAGTAAAGAGATGCCAATATTAAAATTACTTAATTGTCTATTTATTTAACATCAAATGGATAGAATAACAAATGAGGGACTAAATTGAGCAAAAACACAAAAGTATTGGACGAAATTGAGCGAAACATAAAAGTCTGGGACGATATTAGGTCACCAAAGTCGTTTAGGACGAAATTGAGAAAAACCACTATAGTCGAGGACGATTTTGGGTATTAACTCATAAATAATACTAACAATTGAAGTTAGAAAGGGACAACAAGAAATTATTGTGGATGAAACTTAGATATTATATATTTCTGGTCAGTGAAAAGCAACAAGTCCGTTGTAGTCTAGTCGGTTAGGATATTCGGCTCTCACCCGAAAGACCCGGGTTTGATTCCCGGCAGGTTCGATTCCCGGTTCGGTTAGGATATTTTGCCTTTGGAAAAAACGTTTTACAATTTTGGCTTGAGCTGTTACAGACTTCATACAAACGGTGATGATCTTATTGGCAGAAAAGAAAATGGTTGAGCAAATGAAAGTTCAGTGGCATTTTTAATACAAAAATAAATAAAAAATATTTAGAACATTGGACATCAAAATTTTCCTCTGTTGCTCTTTCACTTCAGCCCTTCTCAGGTGAGTACAAGAAATTTTGCGTAATGAGACTAAAAATGTTTCATGATACAATGGAATAATTGTAGAATATCTTGTTAAGAAGTTAAATGACATTGCGACATCCCCGTGCACTCACTTTGACGGCTGTGATGAGTCAAGTTGCATCGTAACAGGCCCATCATTCACCAAGTTCACCTTTCACCATGAAAATAACCACAGTTCAGGCGTGGTGTTACCCTATTAAGAATAAAAATGGAGCTCGAAATTGAAAAATAAAGGAGTTCACCTTCATCATTGCGCCAAATATGCCATCTGTTTGAGACAAGACACAAAAAAGGGATTTAGAATGGATGAATATTGCGTGACAGAACAATCTAACAGTACATATTATGGGTAGAGACTGGAGAGATAGATATGACTGAAAGATAAAGCCAAGGCAACAGTTTAATAACCATATCCAGCCTAACCTCTCCTTAATCAAACAGGCATAGCAGATAATAGTAATTAACTGTTGATAAAATGAAGCAGGAATAGATAATCCTTTTCAACCTCAATCCTTGAGTTAAAAGCTGTGAAAACTGAAAAGTATCTCCAGTCATTTCTGCTAGTAGAATTCTAGAAATATTCACTATATTTGTCAATCCCATTTTGCTACCAATACATTCAACATAAAAAATAGCAGGAAACTTAGACTGTCATAAAAATCAGGGTCACAAGTAAAGAAATCTTGGCGTGTTTACCTGCACTTGGGAACTAATTAGAAAGTTGAGGATGATGGATTGTTTAATTGGGAGGATAAAGGGTTTTATGATCACCTAGTAAATGGAAGTAGGCTTCTAGAGCTATGAGAGAAGGCAATCAGTACCAGTCTACCAGAAATGCAACAAAGAACTTCATAGGATTTGACTAGTGATTGCAGACAAGAATTTATATGGACAACAGCATTCAGTCTAACAATGTCAGAGTAGAATGCAAAGAAAGAATAATTCTTAGGGTTTAACACTGACAACAGGGAAAAGTAAAAAAGTCTAGGTATGAACGAGAGAGCTTGATAAACTTTAGATACTTTTAGGAATTACTTATCAAATCTGAAGTGTCAGTATATAGCCAGTAATGATTAGTCATTTTTTTAAATGTTGAAACTTGTACCTATCAAAAGAACAAACTACTAAAAACTATCCATGAAGACAATGAAATGCCAGAAAAGTATTACAAAGAACGAGCACCTCAGGGGAAGGAACAAAGTTAATTCAAATATAAGAGAAGAAAGATAAACTACCTTTCACAGAATCTGGTTTGTAAGCTTTCTGGAACTTTTCCACCACTGCTGCATAGAAGGGTTTTGCTTTATCCGGAGGCATTGCTACATGAAAGTCGGGCTTATTTCCCTTCAAAATCCCATATAATGTAAACTGACTCACTGCATAATCCATAACATTAGAAGAACAAGGCAATAGCATGGTTACATGTGAGTCGTCATAGCATTCCCTAATCAATAACAAAAATATAAGAGCAAAGCATATACCTAACAGAATTTCATAATTCTTCTGAATAACCTGCCATGAAAAAAAGCATTTGCCTACAGTGTTATTACCAAATCAATGATGTAAAATATGCATTACAGTTATCCATGCCCAAAATAAAATTTTAAGTTACTTATTATGTTCTTTGAAGTAATTCAATATTTAAAAATGTTGATATGGCGTCTCCTTAATATAATTGAGTTCTGATACATTGTTTGAATCAGAAATCTGAATAAACTCTTTTTACTGCCAAAATGCTTATTCTCAGACAATTTAATACAGGCATTTTTGGCTCTCTTGGTTCCATTTATTTCATGATTACTCTACCCACATTGTACTGTGAAATCACATCATAAAACCGTGAATAACGTAGAAATGGATAGAGAAATTACACTGTGATCCCAAGTTTTCCCAGTCTCTTCGTTAGGAAATAATCTCATGTTCAGCACCTTACGGCATCTGCTCATGAGCATGAATTAAAACACAAAATTAGCAACTTCTGGATACGAAGATGAGTAATATAGCAATCACAAATACAAATTACTACGAAAAATCATATTGCGTACATGTAATCAGCATCGGAGTCAACATCCGACTCGTGAAGTCCGACGAGGACCAATAGGCCCGGCCCGATGGCTGATACAACTTTGCCTTCCACCTGCAAATTTATAGCTCGCAGTTTAGCACACGAATTACATAAACAGAGAGGAAAATGTGAGGGAGGAGGAGCCGAACGGACCTCAACACTGGCAGAAGTCACTCGCTGAACTATGGCCCTCATCTTAATTTCAGTTTCTTTCTAGGGGCGAAGTGGGCAACTATACTCAGCAGTGCTCCATCCCAATTCACTGTTTGCTTCTTCAAAAATCAAAACTAGGTTAATTTTTACTCTAATTCTTTAATTTTATTTAAGAAATAATGGCTAAATAAGGCATTAAATTACACACGAAATAATAATTAAGTCGGCAAATTCAAAAAAATATAATTAAATTATGAAATGACGTAAATGAGTGCAATTGAACTTAAAATTACATGTTTAAACCGTAATTGCTGACGTGCCGATTACAATATTAAAAAAATATTTTTAAAAATTTATCTTACTAATTTTAAATTAAATTAAATAAGAAAATTTGTTTAAAAAATCCATAGTCTTCGTCTCTAGCCGGAGATGAAGAAACCTTAATTGTCTTTGGTTAGAGACGAAAGACTTTGTCTTCAAGCTAGAGACGAAGAAATCTTCTTTATTTTTGGTGGAGATAAATGTAGGGGAGGGATATATTTTTAGATTTTTTTAAAAAAAATTAATTTAATTTAAAATTATTAAAACAAATTTAAAAATTTATTTATTTTTATTCGGTAATCACAACGTTAGCAATTACTGAATAAACAAATCATTTTAAATTCAATTGTATGAATTTATGTTGTTCAAAATTCGATTACAATTTTTTAAATTTAATAAGCCAATTGTAATTTCGTATATATTTTAATAATATATGTGACCATTTTTCCTATAAAAAAGAGTAAATACTCAAAATGGTCCCTCGACTATAGCTAAATTCATAAATTGGTCCTCGACTTTCAATTTCAACAAATTAAGTCCTTAACTTTGTAATTTTGACACGATTTGGTCCTCCATCTATTTGACCGTTTGTTGACCGTGATGGACGATCTCCAAAAGAACCTTCCGCTCTCGTCGGAGCACGTGGAGGCCTCAAGGATGACGTTGCATTGGTTCGGAAACACGTCGTCTTCTTCGCTCTGGTATGAACTCAACTACATTGAATTCAAAGGGAGGATGAAGAAAGGCGACCAGATTTGGTAGATTGCTTTCGACAGTTATTCAAATGTAACAGTGCGATTTGGAAATGCAACCAGAACCTTAAAAAACCGACGATGGACCATGAAATTACATATATATCCTCAAAAATCACTGTCAACAAACGGTCAAATAGACAGATGACCAAATTGTGTTAAAATTACAAAGTTAAGGATTTAATTGATTGAAATTGAAAATCGAGGACCAATTTGTGAATTTAGCTATAGTCGACCATTTTGGGTATTTACTCAAAAATAAATTGTCTTTACTTGGATAATACATTTTCCTTTTTTCAATCCACCATATAAAAATAGCACCGCGCGCTCAGATCATCAACTATATAAATAAACTTCCGATTCGTACCGTTTATTCAATATTTGTAATGCGATTGCGCGAAAACCCTTTGACGCAGAGAGAGGAGCAACGAACGATTTTACTTCGCCTGCAACTGCGAGAGCCAGATAACGGAAACCAATGTCTCTCTCGCATATTAATCGATCTACATTTACATTTTAAGATCCGGTTTCGGAAGAGTGCAGTCAAGTATTAATTAATTGCTTGTTTTAATTTATCTCTTTGTTTTTGTACCGAATTGCAGAGTGTTTAATTTCGAAGAAACTCCGATTGCTTTCATGCCGTGCCTGATCTGAGTACTCACGATAGTATACCGGTAAGTTTCTCTAATCTCTATATTACTTTAAATTTTTGTTTCCAACACTAGTGTAAGTTTGCATGCGTGATTGACTCCATCTCGCTTGGTTTTGATTTATAGTTTGGATAGTGTATATTCTGTTGATTATATACATGTGAACTATTAGCAGTATGTATGTCAGTGTGAGTGTAAATGTATACGGTATACATGTATACCTTTTGTTTAACTCTTGGATTGCAGAGAATAACCACCTATATAAGTAGAACCACAAAACTATTAGTGGCCAATAAAGCAAAAGTTAGCATCTAATTTTGTGTTTATGACAGGAACTTATTCTGTGTATTTGCTGAGAGGACTTACTTGTAGTGTTGTAATAGGTTAAGAAAAGCTAAGTATTGTTTTTGGAGCAAAGGATAAAAGTAGTGAAAGTTTGTTTCAAAAGCCATAAAATGTTACTCCGTAATACATTTTGATGCCCAAGATCTTAAATCTCTCCATAATTTGAATTTTGTTTTCTAAGATGTTGAACAATGAATACTGCCCAACGTTTCAAATTCTGCATCCACGCTTTGTGCATTGATATTAAATTGTTAATCAATACTGGGATATGTAGATTTCTATTTTGGCAATTGCATTTGGGTGGTTATATGGTCTATTATACTTTTGACAGACTATTTTGTTTTATATATATATATATATATATATATATATATATATATATATATATATATATATATATATATATCATCTCAACACTTGGTAAGAACAACTTTTGGTCTTCCTTGATTGGGAGTTTTAGTTGTAGTTTATGATTTTACTTGACGACCAGATATTTTGGACCCACTTCTTGATATCTCAATAGTTTGTTAACAACTGAAGTATGATTTTAAAACCATAACATTTTCAAATCTTTATTCCAGATGACAGAAACTCAGAAGGGAGCTTCCTCATCTGCCAAGGCAAAAGAGAAAAGTCCATTACTGGGTATTCTAATCTCCAAGATGTTCTTGTGGTTTTTCATTGAAACCTTGCAGTTGAACAAGAAGAATTCTTAGGGGTTTTTTCTGGTTTCACAGATTTGGTCAGGATATTGGGGGTAATTAAATCCCATGTTTGGTACATTTTGCACATCCTTGGAATGTTAGTTTGGACAATACACAGGAAGAAACGGGCAAATGCCTGAGCCTGGGCAATACACAGGAAGAAATGGATAAAATGCCTGAGCCTGAAAAAATATTATATATTTGGCAGTATAAGGAACCATCTAAGAATCAAAATCTGCATATTATTAAACTAAAAAATATGTAGGGGCAATATACTATATTTGAGGGTTTTTTTTTTTTTTTTTAATAAATATTTTTATTATAGTTTTTGGCATGAAGTAATTATGATTTTGCATTATGTTTGCTGCAGATCTTGACATTGGAAATGATTTTCTTAACTCATGGAAATCAATTTCCATTGGGGATGAATCTATGGATTTTGACTTTGGGCCTATTTCCAAGAATAAGAAAAAGACATTCAACTTTGACAAAGAGTAATTACTGTCAAAGTTTCCTCTTGCTGTTCCTGATTATACTTAATTGTATTCTGGTGGAAGTTATCTATGTCTTCTATGATGTATTAATGAATGCATGTGTGTTAGAAAGGTAGTTTGTGCTCTAAACAGATTCTTGAAAATCTCCAACTTGATGGTAGCTCATCAAATCTTTGTATCTGCTCTAGTCCCTGTTCTGCATCAAGCTTATGTCTAAATTTTTGCTCACAATTTGTGTGTATCCTAAACCATCTTGCTTATTGTACCTAGTAATTTTGTGTTAAGAACTAACATGTCATCCTTCAATATGTTAAATTTCCAACAGGGATATGGATTTCAATCTTGACAGCAATTTTAGCAAGATATCATCCTTCAAGATTGACATGTCAGACCTTGATATTTCTTCTCCAAGTAAGAAAAATGGAAAGACAAAAGAAAAATCAAATGAAGAATCTTCTGGTGCCAGTAACAAGGGGAAAGCAGATAGCTTCAACTTCAACTTTGATTTCAAGGAGTAAGTCAGAATTTTTCATGGTTCTCAGGTTACTAAATTTCTTGATCTTTTAACAATCACAGCTTGACTTATTACCTCTTCTCCATCTTCTCCCTCTGATTGGGTTTAGGGTGGATGGTCTTAGTTTTGAGTCAAGCCCGAGGGCAAAAGAACAACCTAAGAAGATTCTAGAAATTGAAGGTTCTTCTGAAACAAGTGCGCATCAAGGCTCTGGACTCCATCTGAGTGAAGATGTTGGTGAAATAGACGGTGGCACACCCAAAAAGAACTCTGAGCCAGAGATGGCAATTACTTCAACTGCTGATTCTTTGGTTGACAGTGGTCTAACTCCTCATACCATAGACACAAATTGTTCTTCAAAGTGTACTGCAAACAACAATGATGCATCAATTTCTGCAACCGTTAATCACAAAGATGAACTAATGCAAACAAGAATCTTTCCAATGAGGAAGACATCTACCAACACACAACATACAGATTTCCCAACAGAGAAGGGAACCTCTCCTGAATCAGTTGCTGAGGAAGCCATACAGGATGTATCTCCCCATTCTTCTGGACGTGAGTCAAGCCAAGATGCAGGTTCTGACTTGCTGAAAGAAGTTGGTTCTCTGGGTGCAAAACTGAGTTCTTCAGATGTAGAGAAGGATCTTGAACTGATAGCTGGTCTGGACTCAAATGACAATAAAACAATGCCTGAAAGATTTCTTGTACAGCTGAGCAATGCCTCGCAGGAAAGTAGCAAATTTGAGAATGACAAAAATCTTTTGGTTAGCAATATAGAGGGGAACAATACACACCCCGAATGCAATATTGCAAGAGCCAAGAAGGATGAGCATCTCAAAAAAGTCAATGACGAGATACAAGAACCTATTTCCAGGCTACTTAAAGCCCCATTAAGCAGGTAGAAAATGCTAACTTCCTATGGTTTTATTATCATTAATCAACCATGCATGGTTGCCTTTTTGCATTCAAAGAAGAACCAAACTATAAAGCACTTAAACTCCTCTTATTCCTAATCAGTCTAGTGACTGAATTAATGTAAACTATGCATCATTGATAAAGCATGATTGCTAAACTTTGCTTTAATAAGTATTGTTTGATATGGAATGCACATGTTTGTATAGTGAAACTGCTGTTCAAAATTTGACACAAGGGAAAGGTGACTGTGGCACCATCAGGTCAAAGTTCTTCAAGCCGTCAATTGAAACTGCTGCTCATAAGCAGAAGAAATCTTTGACACAGGCAAAACATTTTGGCACAAGCCCACCAAGTCATGGTGATGAAGGAATGTAAGTGGAAATTTTCCATGATTTAAAAAGTCTTATCAGATAATATATCTTACTAGAATATTCATCACAGGGCACAAAATGGTAAAGGTGATGAAAATGGGAAGGAAGTTGTTTCATTGCCAGGTTCTAGATCACCCAAGAGTAGCATTCTTCAGGCAGGAAGTCAGGACAACTGTAAAGGTTTTTCCACAGACATGTAAGATTTTGGTGACAAGAGTTTCTCCTCAAACTTAGTTTTAAATTTCTCCTTTATTTGAGATATTTGTTGCCTTAACTATATTATCATATGGTAAGTTTTGTCTATTTGGTAAGTGAAACTATTAGTCTTTATAACCCATTTGTCCATTATGACTAAATGACCTCAGGGACTGCTCTAAGTTTGATGGCATGAACCATAGAAAATGTTGATTACTACCTCAAGGATGAGTTTTGGAACAATACAGAAATCTGTTTTAGTAGAAAGTGGGAACATCAATAAAAATATCGATACCCCAGGTCATTAATCTAATATTGGGTTTTCTAACCAGGAATGAAGAAAAATACTACAATTGACTCTTTGGGTACTTTGTGAAAGAGCCCTTTTCTTCAAAATGAATTCTGCATATGTTGTCTGCCATGCATTACATTCTTTACCCAATTTCAAGAACTGGATCCTTTTGACAGACTTTTTTTATCACTCATCATCGTGGGATACAGATGCTCTGATTTTTTGACAGTCCCACCTTTTTGTCTAATTATGCATCTTTTTTACTTTTTGTTATATCTGCATATTATTTCTGCTACAAAGTCTGTGAGTACATTCTTGGTACTAGTAAATGCTTATATCATAGATATAAGATAATATCAAAATGTATTATTATTTATTACTGAAACAAGGTTTGTGGGTATGTTTTTCATCAGTTCTCATGTCAGGCCTTTGAGTACGGGCGAGCAGAGTAAGTCCATGCCACACAACAATGGAAATCCAAGAGTTCTAAGAAGTGCCTTTCCTTCAATGGCAAGGAAAACTTCTGGTGGTGACAAGAAAATCTACCCTATCAAAGCTGGTAGACAGACACTGGATTTCCCTAGCTTGAAACTTTCGAAGTATTACATTGAGTTGTTTTAATCTTCTTATGTTAATGCCTCCTTCGTTGGGTGCAAAATTTTTATGAACCATTTCTGCTAATACAGAAATGTGGGATCAAGTCCTTGTGTATCTCAGTCCTTGTTGCCGAAAGATGGTAAAGCCTTGGGAAACCTGGAGCAGAATACTAGTCTAAAAAGCATTGCACAATCAATGGTTACTCACCCTATTACAACATCAGCATCAACGCAAAAGCCAAACATCACACCTCTTAAAAGGAAAACAACAGAGGTTTGTTATCATCAAGGGAATTTCACTTTTAAATAGTTCCACTGCTGCAAGGATGTCATGATAAGAAATTTATGGATTAGAATGTCACCTAAATTTATATTATAATCTATTATGCAGACGGCTGCAGAAATGATAATTACTAGTCCATTTAAACGGCCCTTGGAATCACCAAGTGAACACAGGTTCTTTTTGTAATGATAGTGTTGGTTACTCGTCTTTTTCATTTGTGTGCACTTAAGACCTGATTGTTCAAACATTTGCAGAGATTTTTCCAGAATTTCAGACACACAGGTGATTCACAAAAGATAGATACATTAAGATGGTTTCTCAAGTTGTCCATAAAAAATTGAGTATGAAGATTATGCATATGTTAATCTCTACTTATTTCTCCTAACATATAGGACTTTTACAGCAAGGATTGGACCAACTGTAACACAAGGGTTGAATATAACAGTTCCCAGACCTCTGCACATGATATTCCTCAGCCTGTGAACAAAAAGGAATTAGGAGTCCTTCCAACAACGGTAGATGATGACAATGTAAAAAAGGCTGAGGCATATTCAAAAGATCTTGATGATGTAATCATCTTACCGTATTCATGAACTGCTTTGTTAAGATATCCTGGATCCTTCAGCTTGGAAGTAATTGTGGACAAGAGACTGCCGTGTCTAACGGTAAATTTTTTTTTTTTTATTCTTTTTACCTTGTTATTTTCTTGGTCATTTGCAGATATGCAACAAGCTTAGGAAGATGCATGAGGAAGCTAAAGAACTATTTGTCCAGTCTATTGTGAACAATAATAAGCTGCTGTTGCTGAACCATCCTATTTATGAACAAAAGATATCCTTCATTTTTGCCTTGTTAGTTGTTTACCTTTCAGCATTCTATAATTCAGTCCCAGAAGTTTGTACTGCCTTCACTGCTTAGAACATACATGTGGTTAAAAATTTTGCTGCTGGATTGATGAAGAGGGAGACCCAAACATAACCATAGTGCAATAAATTGGTATTATTCTCTCTCTCTTGCAAACATATACGCCTAGAATATATGGTTGTCACTTGTCAGTATATCAGTTGTTTGAATTATAGGCATAGTTGGCCGTACTTCATTTAACTGCACGAAATGTTTTCTTTCTCACAGGTCAAGGAAGCTTTTAGCAACATCAACTTACTGAGCATTAGGCATAAAGAATGTGATCGCTGGAATTAGAACTTTCTTGACACCCTAGAACAATCTGGTACACAGGTACAGACTCTTCCCAATGTTAAAAACTTGTAATTACTGTTTTCTTATTGTTGGTTGTTTACATCAAAATTGAGTGATTGAGCTAGATGCCTAGATGTACATGAACTGATGAACTAAATCGTTATGTTGAGAATATAATTTGGCTACTGAAGTAGTAGTTCTAGTCTTCCATCCAATTTCCAGTGTGTCAGGGCAATGTTTCAAGGTATTCCCTTTATTGGACAAGAAATAAAGCAAGGCCTTTAGCACTTTACCAAAATACCAACATACTATTGCTGGTTGATTCCTTCTTCTTAGGTAATACTATACTCCTATTGGTTAAGTTATCTTCTTTTTTGGACAGCCTTTTGTACCTTTTTAAAAAGAAAAGATCAAATGTTAGTAAGGAATTTGTTAGTTTTCACAAAGCAATAAAAGAAAAGGACATTAATGCATTTTTATATGAAGTGTAGATATAGGTATAGATTAGAAGAATTTTTAAATGGTATAATATCATGCTCCACTTCTTAAAGGCAAGCACGTAGTCTGTAGTAGTAGTAATTCTTTATTATATTTTTGACATGTTGAAAAATGAAATTAAGATATATTAAAAACTGCTAAGGGACATTAAAATTAAATGAGTAATGGTTAGGGAGAAAGGTCAGCCGTTGATGGCTTGATTTTTTTGGTTTGTTTGTTTTAAATAAGATTTTTGCATATGTATGTATTTTAAGGATCGCTTATACAGCTGTGCACAAGGACAAATGACAAATAAGATTTTGGTAGAAAAGATAAGGATGTAATTGAGATAATTTTAAGATCGAAAAGCGCAGCCATCGCCATATTTTGGGATGGATAGATACTGAGAATTTTTCTTCTCTTGTTTGAAAGGTAAACTAAATGAATTGATAGGCCAAGTGGCCAACCAATCCAATCCTATCACGTAGTCACGTTAGGTTTATCACTAATGGCAACTAGTGGTATATATGTAACTATATATATATGTTTAATTTACTATGTTACAGACGAGAAGTTGACAAGCAACGTTTTGTCTCATGCTATGGGTAGCTCTTATTGCACATAACTAATGGCGACAACTGACATTAATTATTACTCTAATTTCAGAAATATATGGTCCATGCAAGAAAAATTATGGCCATGCGGTACCGAATCCAATCCATTTAACATATTAGATTTTTATACTCTTTTTGTTAAAATCATAAGATTTATGAATTATTTTTATAGAATAAAAAAATTAGTCATTTATAGAGTATTTATTCATGTTTTAGTCCTAAAAAAATTATCAATTGCAAAATTATATCTTAATGCAGCTAAATATGTTCAATTTTGGTCCTTTTGCTACCATTTACCATCAATTGTTTTTTTTGTTTTTGTTTTGTTTTGTTTTGTTTTGTTTTGTTTTGTTTTTTTTTTTTTTTTTGGATGACGAGGGAAACCTACAGCTAATACCTAATGGTGTGTACGAAGTAAACCTCCAAACATGCACTAGAAAATTCCTATGCCACGAGCTCGATGATACTCTGATAGAGTGCTGATAATAATTAAACTTGTAAACTTTTGGTATGAGAACCATGCTCTACCTCTACCCATTTGGTCATCCCCTTCGAGTCAACTTCTTTTGTTAACTTGTGATAATTAGTATGAAGATAAAATTAATAAATAAATAAGGCAATTGACAGGAACCAATAGCAGAGAAGTAAAAAAATATGGAGTAATTGAGTAAAAGTTGCCTAGTAATTTATATTGGGCAAATGTTGTGATCAACATTAGACAGAGACACAAAAGACAGAGACACAAAAGAAGTAAAGTTAAAGAGTGGATGGATAAAAAATTTGTAAGACCAAAAGAGGTGAAAGCCATATATCAACAATTGGAAACATATTTCATGCTATACAGGGAACATGTGAGAAATACAGCATTTACACTAATTAAAATTTTGCAATTATTGGTGATTGATTAAACACGCATCAAAAGTCTAACAATAACACATGCAATATGATGATGTGTTTACTCTACCCTATAGTGGAGCTTAAATAATGACAGTTAGTCACCGGCAATGCACAATATCAGGGATAACCTAACCTTTTGGTAGGTAGGAAAACCTGAAATTTCTCTGAATTTCATCCAAATATCAAATCAAAGTGAACAGTAAAATAATTGTTAAAAAAAAAGAGTAAAATAATTGTTAAACTCGCAGATCGAATCAAAAGTGATTTTCACGTGCATGTAAAATAATTGTTAAGCTCGCGGATCGAACCAAAGTTATTTTCACGTGCAGAGAATATAAAATGACCAATGGAAATATTGATAAATGCCATTATCATATTCCAGTTGTTCAGAACTTGGAACAGTTCAATCTAAATCCTCATTAAAATAATAAACATTTTTGTTACGTTGTGGCTGTTTTCTTGGAATCCCAGGTTTTGATTCGTTCCATTTTCTCGTTTTCCAAGAAGTACTGTAATACTTTTAAAAAAGAAGAAGTATTGGAAAAGTTGCAAAAGACGTTGACCTTATTAATCCTCCATATCATTCACATGTTATTACTAAAATGAAATAAAAATTATGACCAGTACATCCAGTTGACGATTCCATAGTTGTATCATATCCTAGATCAATTAAGCAGCCTCCCCAGATTTTGGATATGTGTTTCTATAAATACCCAAACTTCAATTTTCTTTCGTGAATTTAGTCAAAATATAATCCTATTTTAATTCACCGCCAAGATCCATCAATGGCAAGAACCTTGTTCATACTTCTCCTAGCGGTTGTGTTGGTCCAAGGGAGGTTTTTGTCGGATGATGATGGTGAGGTGGTTTCTGATGGAGTCCACGACCATTACCATGCTCATGCTCATGCGGCTAACCAATCTGTAGACCAGTCGTCGTTTCTTGCTCTCGGCGGGCCACGCCTATCGTCCTCGTCTTCCTCGACATGCGACCACGCTTATGGGTTCTTCCCCTGCGCGGAGAACATCCCCGGCTACCTTTTCCAGATAGTGATTTTCCAGTACTTGATGAGCGTGGCAGAGCAGCTGGTGAGCAGTTCAAGCAAGAAGATCTTTGATACTCTGGGCACTGGGATTTTCGGCGCCACTGTCTTCCGAATCCTCATGGTTTTTCCCAGAATCATCATGACAATCTGTAAGTTGCTTAATTGCGTTTTTAGTTTTTACATCTAACTTTCAAACGATTATATATATGTAATAATGTAATTCGATGTTGTGGAATTGACAGCGTCGGGGATATTCAACAGCCAAGAGGGTGCACAGAACCAGGTGTTCTTTGGTATCAGGGTTAACGCCGGAGCCACCATCTTTAACCTCACAGTACTTTGGGGTCTCTGTGTAATAGTCGGCCGGAGAGACAGAGCCACTCAAGAAAAGGATTCCCAGTCTCAGCCCTCAACCCAATCTTTCGCTTCCAATTGGTTGAAGACTTTGAACGGTTAATTCAATTCCTTTTAACATTAATTTTATATCTTTTTCTCTTTCACATAATTAATTAATATTTTATTCACGCATGCATGCCCAATTGCCCATTATATTCTTTTGCACCCAGGACCAGATAGTGGAAGGGTAAATGTGACTTTTGCCTTTATCTACTTTTGTTCAAGAGTCCCACACTGTTGTCTGATAGGATTGTGGACAGATAAATTGTTCATTAGGTTATATCTTGTCCATTAAGGGAGAGGACTAATACCGAGTTCAATTATTGATGCTCATATTCTAAAATAGTTATTTTTGTGGGTTTCTATAAATCCAGAATGCGGTATTTCAACGGATGCCTCAACTTCTTTCACGGCCGGGCTTATGCTGTTGTCGTTGGTGCCTTTTGTGTTGGTGGAACTAGTCAATGTTGTCTCCTCCGCGTCTGGGCAGCGAATTGTGGTTTTGGTTGCTCTCATTATCACCGTTGCATTTCTTCTCGCCTATTTCGGTTATCAGGTAATTAACTATACTACATTTTCCTGTTATTAATTTTTTTTTTTCCCACTAGCTAAATCCAATTCAATTAAAACCATGCATGCATGCATGCTAACTTTATGTACAATGAACATTTCATGTACGTATAGATTATAGATCCAACGATCCAAAAAAGAAGCTTGCACTATTCAAGGTTTGAGAATCTTCTCACACAAAATGGGAAGCCCAATGTTTCACGCATTCGACTGTAAGTATACACAATTATGTATGTCCTTAAATTAGTATAGCTAAGTATGACATTACAATAATTTGCAAATTAATGATACATATATGTGGCGCATTGCATTGCAGTTTCTTCCATTTGTATGATTCCGACAACAACCAGCAGATGTCGTCACGAGAACTGGAGAAGTTTCTTCGATTAATAGTGACGGATGAAGTGCAACGTATGGTGGCAGTGAAGACGATGATGAAGGATCTGGATAGAGATGGAAACAGCAGAATCACCGAACAAGAGTTTCTTAATGGAATAGAAAACCTGCTTGCCAATAATTCCTCAGCCGACAACGCGGCCGCCGCCACACCAACTTCTACACCTGAAAATGATGACCAGGAGGTAAGTGCAACCACTTTAACTAGAGAAATCACTTTTGGGCACCCATGGTGAATTTATTGTCTTGGTAATTATAAAATTTCAACTTTTACCCCAAAAGGCTGAATCCCCAATCCTAAGGGTCCCAGACCCGACAGAGCATGTGGGAGGATGTAAATCAGGATGATTCAATGGATTAGTAGACAGGGCCAAATGCCATAAAATTTCAACTTTAATTTGATTCTCAGTAAAAGTTGTCTATTACCCTTCTTAATTTGAATCAGTCACCTATGGATAACTAGACTGATTTACCTCTTGTGATCCTTTGTCAATTAAGGTCACAAGACCAATCCTTTATTGTCAGCTAGAAATAAAAAAGCAACGTTTATTTAGTGCACACCATCTCATTGTGGACACGCATACTATGTTAATTAGGATTGAACGCGACGTGTATATATATATATATATATATATGTGGATAAAACTGTTATTTAACTTGACTTTTACGGTGATTATAATTTGTAGAAAAGCGGAGAAGAGACAAACGGCGCAGCGGGAGAGGTAGAGCAGGCGGGCGGAGAGAAAATGGGGACATGGGATTTCATAGTAACAGTGTTGCAAGTGATATTGGGAGTTGCGATATTGACGTTTTGTGCACAGCCCTTAATGACTAATGTGATACAATTCTCTGGCGCTGTGGGAGTGCCTACCTTCATCATCTCCTTCGTCGTGCTCCCTATAGTCATCAATGGCAGGATGGCCATAGCAGCCATTTTTCCAGCAAGTCAAAAGAGCTCCAAAGCTGCTTCTTTGACATTTTCTGAGGTACTTATTACTGCTCCCAGCCCCTCTCAATTCAATATCCTTATTTTTGGTTTAATTTATACATAAAAGACAAATGGATGTTTGGTAAATAGCTGTTAGCTGATTGCGTTAGTGAGTTTAACTAGTTGATAGCATTAGCTGATTCTAAAAAGATGTTTGGTAAATTAGTTGTTAGCTGATAACTGATTACTTGCAAAATGACTTTCTCAAAAAGCTGTTTTGAGCAGCAAAACAGCTTTTTGAAACAATAAACTGTTACACACACTTTTGCTGATTGTGGTCAAATAAGCCAACATTGGCTGATAATAAGTTAACTATGTTACTGAATAGGGCCAAAGGCCCATTATAATTTAATTTTGTTAGTCACTGTGTGGTAATTAAATTGGTGAAATATATGCTTGCATGCATGCAGATATATAATGGAGTGACAATGAGCAACCTAACAGGGCTGCTATCATTGCTAGCAGTGGTGTATGCAAGGGAGTTAACATGGGACTATTCTGCAGAAGTGTTGGTGGTTTTTGTCATATCTCTCACAATAGGCTTTCTTGCTTACTTCAAAACCACATATCAACTATGGACCAGCATCTTTGCCTTCTTCCTTTATCCCTTCTCCTTGGCTCTCTTTTACGTTCTCCAGCTACTGGGATGGAACTAACACCCCCACCCCACTCTAGTTAGCTAGCTAGCTTTTTGTTTTTATGTGCATGTATAATGTATTGTTAGTCTAATTATATATGAAGTTAATTGTAAGCTGATCATTTCATTATTATATTATATGCAGTACGTACTGTAAAATCATTTTCCGATGAGATATATATAATATTTGTGTTGAATTATTGTGTCTTTTTCTTAATCTTAGCTTTACAATAGATACATGTATAATCCAATAATTATTGTATGGACCAACCTGATCGTATTATATTATATATGCATCCTGTCCTGTTTCCAGCCTTCTGCAACACATTTTCTTGTGTTATAATGTTGTTTTGGTGCTACCGTGCTAGGCTAGGCTACCCTTATCATCTGTGCAAGTTTATCTCATTTTTAAAAGTAGACTATAATTTCAAATCTCTATTAAAATTTCAACTCACTTTTTTTAAATAATAATAATAATAATAATAATTAAAAAACCAAAAAAAAAAAAAGTACAAAAGCGGCAAAAAAAATAAGTACAAAAGCTGCAAACAACCCGGATTTTTAATTTTGTTTTTGTTAGATTTTTTTTTTAAAAGCAAAAAAATAAATAAAAATAAAAGAGGATGGTTGCCCACGGGGGCATGTATTACATGTGCCCACTAGGTGTTGTTGATGCGTTTAATACATACTAGCAGTTGTTTATTTTTTTAATTACTTTGGTGGGGATCACTGTTTAAACAAAAAATCACTGCTCCTATAAGAACCTTTTATCTTCTTTCTCCACTCTCTCTCTCTCTCTTTTACATCATATTTGGCCCCACAGAAAAATCATAAAATCTACAATTGGAGATGCTCTTAGAGCATTCACATCTATGATTTTTTAGGGATTTTGTAACTTTTTTTTTTTTTTTTTTTTTTTTGCATAGGTGGGGGAGAGAGGAAAAAAAAATTACGAAAATGAGGATTTTTGTGGGACGACTGTCCCACAAAAAATCTATTTGTTTCGTCTCAGGTGTGTGTGATGCACACATGGCGCACTAGCATGCACACGCCAACTGGGCGCGTAAGACTTCATATTTTTATTCTTATTTTTTTCCGTTTTCTTATTTGTCCTTTTTCCTTTTTTTTTTTCCTACTCTCTTTTCTTGTTGGTATCTCAAAAATTGTGAAAAAAATTAAATTGATGAGGATGCTCTTAGCAAACTTGGAAGTCAAGTGGCAAAAAGAATAAAGTAAAAATTAAAAAAGAAATCGGCATGTGGACTTGCAAGTTCTATCCTTTAAGAGCATCTCCATCAGAGGAGAAATGGAGGAGAATTCACTTCTTTTGAGGGCAATATGCCATGGTGACAGTGAGAAAACTAAGAGAGAAAAGAAGTGAGAAGCTTCTGCCCAAGGTTTAGATATTTCTCTTCCCTAAGGGAAGAGAAATATCACAAAAGCATGGGCTACTGTGCGTGCGCACAGCAGCAGCCCACACAGGCGCGTGCAATGCATGGGCCCGCCTGACCATATTTTTTATATTATTTTTTTTAATAAAAAATCAATTTTGACTTTTTGTTTTCCTCTTCCCTCTCACATTCTCTTTCCTAATCACTCTTACATTCTCTCCCTAAAATTGATAATGTTGCTCCAAGAAATGGAGTTAGCCTTAGACCCTCGCGATTTGACAAGACTTATGATACTGGCCATTACTTTTAACCTCCTTTGATTGATTCTACTACGTACTATACGAATTATCAAACGAACAACAATGCATCGCAGCGCACAAGATTCGGTGCAAGTAGTTTTGGCAAGTGGAACGAATGAAAATGAAGAAGTGACAAGGCTATCTACCATAAATGGCGAAATATGAGCATTTTAAATACAGGCCAAAAGATGCATTGTCACACCCCATGGCCAAAAAATGGTTTAGCTTTAGAATGTAAAGCAGTTATATATCTGCTGTGTGACATAGGAAAGGTAAGGTAGAAATTGCTGGCTTTCTGAGTCATAGTACGTATCATGGGGAATATCATCATTCAATTGTTGAATCTTTGTTTTCCTTGTATTACATCCAATCTTTAGCCTGTCTAAACCACGTACGAGAAAACAGCAGGACAAACATCAGATCAGATTATTGTCTCCTGACTTTAATGTTTTGCCTGCACTTGGATCCTGGATGGCTTTTCTTCTTTATAAAAAGTTAAGTTAAACAGTAGTGTCAGCAACTGCTTTGCAGGATTTTGGTTATCCATTAATTTGTCCATTACCTTTTGAGCCCGCACTTTTCTCTCCCACCTAACTTGTAGCGAAAAGAAATCGTTTGATTTGGTGTTGCAGCTAAATTTGCTGATTTACACTCACGATGTTTTGTTCAAGATGGGAGTTGGACAGCCTCCATCACACCTTTTTCTCTCTATCCTTTATTGCATGCTCTCTGTTGAGATAAACATCAAAAACATATATTAAAGAAGACAAGATTTATCTGGTTGGACAATATATATGCCTACTTCATTGTGGTGCATGTCCTCTATTGCTCTCAACTTCACTATGCTCGGGGTTAACCCCAATTAGGATGGCTAACGATACAAAGTTGTAACCACAATGTCAAAAGTTCGAATCTCAACCTTCTTGGTTTGAGCCGATCAGTTATGAGCAACCTAAGCTGGTTTACCCAGTATTAGACATACTCAACACTCTATATTTTAGAGTTCATAAGCATTGCATGCAGCAATGAGGTTGATGGGATGTGATGTCACTGAGTTAGCTTTTGGTCATATTCTTGCAAGGTCAAGTTAGGTGCAGAAGGTTTTCACTATCTAATCTCTTTTGCAAACTTTAAGTTAGCAATAAAGATGATGTGAAGCAATCAGGATAAGGTTGATTCCTCCTAGGCAGTCACCTCTTGTTCTCTGCAACTTAGCCCCCCCTGCTATTATTTAGCTCATCAATTGAGTTCATCATCTATTCAAATTCACTGTCTAATCTCCATTGTCTTTCCAATGTTCATCTTTCTGCAAGGGGTGATTGAGGGAGGCTTTCATAGGTTGGAGTGTTTGAGTGATGAAAGAAACTCGCAACTACTGCACAGAGTGTTCACTGAGTAAATCTTACCTGATGACCCTAGCTGACAAAGGACTACAAGAAAGTAAACCTTTTGGGCAGCAGCTCCGAGAGTCGAGTTTAGCATCCTACCATCGAACCATAGCGTTGACTGCTACGCAACTAAAAGAAATGAAGTTGTGAGATTTCGCTCGCTACTAGCTATAACTTTTGGTGTAGTGGTAAGTGATCCTAACAATTGGTATCAGTCTATCAGGTCAAGGGTTCTCAGGCTGATCAATTTGACTGGAGTTGCCCGGGTCGGAGATGTTAGAGTTTGACTTTGCTAGGGAAGTTTGTCACATCGTCTGAATGGACTATGCACAGCTCATGCATGCATGATCCTTAAACATAATTGGTGAAGTCACCAGACACCAGTAACGTTTGATTTGTTATGATTTAACACCAAATCAAGACTTTAATTAATTTGAAAAAAGTTGCCAGACCATACATGAAAAGACAACAACGTAACTTTGTGCTTCCTGCATCATTGTCCTCTTACCACAGTTCAGATAAGGAACAAAATAATTACTCATACCACTCAGCAACAATGTATAAATAGATTCTTCCATCCTGGTTTAGTCTTACAACTGCTAGCCAGTCTGATCTTTCCAGGATAACATACATAATGGGTTGGTTGAAGTGTTCATCAATATGCCTCATAATACTACTGCTGATCTTGCTTTCGTCTGCAATAACCGAAGCTCGGCATTTCAGGTCTATCAGGATTGCCAGGGAAGCTTTGGAGGCACAATTTGAAAGGGAGAAGATGATGAGTAATGTAGCAGCTAGAAATGATTGGCCTGATCGTGTAAGCCCTGGAGGCCCTGACCCTCATCATCACTTTAAACATTTATTATGAAAGTAGTTCTGTATGTTCTTGATTGGTTTTGCTGTCAAAACCGCCTGTATTATTGTCATGTATTTGCATTTTGATGACAAATAAAGAATAATGACATTTCTGTTTCTGTTTCTGCTTCTAATCCCCATATATACTTTCTCTTCGAAAAAGTACGAATTGAAGAAGAAAGGTCATCAAATCTCTCAATCTATGATACAGGATCTAGTTATCATGGATTCAAAGTTGGTATACTGGTATGCACTTTTAGGATGAGTAGGATAATATTGTTATTGCCCGCACGAGTAGTTCAGTTGGTTCTTAAGTGGTAAATTCATATTATGGGCAAATGCATATGATTGAGTCCAGACAGTCGGAGTTTCACCTTCTTGTGAAGTGGCTCTTGGTAGGCACCAGACACTGATTCTCTCACCTAATGGGCCTTGAGTCACCATGATTTACCAACCCTTTCGTGGGCAAGGATAATATTGATATATAACTGATTATATTATTCTCCAGATAGCGATATGCATCAATAGACCTGCACAAAATGGCCTTAGAATAAGCCATACCAGTCAATATTTTTATGCAGATTGCTTTGATAGTTATCCTGCTGAAAGGATACCTATCCATATACAAAACCTTGTTTATTCCATGGCCATTAAAGCCACCAGTTGTCAGCTGCAACCTCTTTCTATGCATGTTGGTTGTGTATTCCAAATTATTCTCCATATCAGATAGGTGCAAAAAGCTTATGGCTGGCTGCAAAGTGCAAATATTTTAATTTACATGTATTCTCATCACCCTCCACTCAAGAATTTCTTTCTATATATTCCAGCCTTTTGATTAACGAATCATCGCTGACTGGGCGGTGGCTTGAAGAGTTGAGTCCAGCATTCTGCCATAGAAAGTAGCGCAGACTGCTACGCAAGTATAAAAAAATAAAGTTGGACATTCACCTGACAATTGGTATCAGAGCATATCACAGAGCTATTATAACTTTTGATGCAATGTTAAGCGTTTGATCTTGATATACTGTAAAAGCAGAAGCTAGAGCTCAAATGTGAGCTGGATAAGCATATTCTGCATAAAAAAAAAATAGCAAGACGGCTTGTCATTTAGGATCAGAAAGAGCAACTCCTTTTGTGCAAGAATAAATTAAACAAACATAAAAGTAGTAGCAGCACTAGATTCTTGAGCATTCAACTTGAGATTGCCAGATTTGCTGTGGCGAATCGAATGAAAAAGCGGGTTATATTAGCATATCATAGAATTAGAAGTTTGATCTTATCAGTGTGCGTTCATAAAAGACAATATACTTTTCAGTTTTCGCTACAATCCAATAATAGATAAGTAATAAAAGGACA